AACAGCTCATTCTCGAAACGAAGCTTACCCGCTCACGCTAGTCACGATAAAAATCATACACGTGTACTCTTGAATAGACGTCAATGACTACGGTAAAACTTAGACTTATTTTAGCCGGCAGGAATGATTGAAATGTCCGAAAAATGACGCCAAAATACACCTTAAAAGTCCCATTTTATTTTCTTAAATCCCATTTTATTTTTTTAATCCAAGGGCGAATTTACGGCAGAATCTGGTCCCTCAAATAAGGGACACGTGAGCTTTGATTCTAACCGATACATTGCACTGGGTCGGGGAGATAGTTTGCTAAACTTCCATGTATCTTTTGTCCAATGGGTACCTGTACTTCGAACATTCGCAAGTTTTCCTAGGTAGTGCGAGACAGCTTTGTCTTTTGACCTAATTTTGTGCTGACCTCTTCTCCGCGTCTTGATGTGTTTTTTTTCCTTGTCATAATACTCACTGATTGATGACTTTGTTTTGATTTTGAGTTGTTTAGCCTACAACTCTGCCACGACCTTTGCTTTTACCGTGAAACATTGGGAAGTTTACGTCAATTGAAGGACATTGCATTTTTTTAAAAACTAACGAAGCACACTGTCTATCATCCCCATTTTTCATTTGCTGATTTCTATTCTAAAAAATTCGACCGTCCGAAAATGCACCTTAATTTTGACTCTAAAAACACGTCACATTTCTAACACTAATTATTTAAAACCGGTCGAAATTTTGGAGTTTTTACGGTAGTTTTCAAAAAGAAGTCAAAAAATTAAAAAGTTCACACCGACGATGGACAATCACTCATATGATTGACTCCTGTAGGATCCAACAAAATTAAAAGACACTGTTCTCAAGTTATTAACAAGTTTTGACCACAGTCAAATTATGTTCCGTATTTGACAAGTCGTTGAATATTGGGTTATTTTTCATTGTACGATCAAAGAGGTTTTCCATGTACATGTATAGTAATAGAAAGGCATCTCCCCTTTTCCACTGTACAAAAACACATTTTCAACTCCTGTTTTTTACTACCTGCATCAACAAGTCACAGCAGATAATGGTGCGCCCCCTATGGAGACAACATTGTATGATTACATTTCATTAAAGACGTTCACCTACCTGGGGAAACCGTTTATCTTGTCTGTCATTGATGCATGATGTGATATCACAGTGCAGATATGTGGCAGACTTAGATGTTAACTCAAAGCTGAACCGATAAACCAGGCATCTTCTGTGATCCCGGTAACGTTCCTATGATATCATTTGGGATGAACTCTTCAATAAGGACAGATGAATCAGAAGCACACCTACAGAGAGATGTATTCAGAAAATATATTTTTACAAAAGAAAAATATTCCCACCAACAAATTTTGCACATTTTTGTGTTTTCCAGTAATTTTTTGTCAATTACTTATTGCCTATCATTTTAGAAATACTATGGGAAATACTATGTGCTTTATTTTATGAATGGTTATAAAAGGATTGGTCTTGGTTGCCATGACATTTTCCAATAAAACATTGGTGCAATATAATTCTTTTTTTGGACTAAAAATGAACAATTTCCTATATGCTTATGTAAGATTTAAATTTGGTATCAAATCAGGTTAAACAGAAAATGAAGCAATTCATCAGATACCAAATTGTTTTATTCCTGTATTAATCCTATTTTTTTAACTCATTGCACAAAATGTAATCTGTGTCGCCTAGACACTTACCCATTTGTAATCAGCTCATTTGTTACAACATCCCTCGTATTTTCAGCAGTAGGCGAAAGCCAACAACCATATGGAACAACACCAAATGTTAAATCCAATGCACCCTCCAGTCCCACTTGTGCATATATACGAGTGTCTTCTTCAATCAACCAAGGGAATTCGGTATGCGGCTGCTCGTAGAAGTATTTATCAAACAGTTTAAGCGTGTAGTTGGTTATTTCAAATGACAATGGTGGTTTTCTGGTCGCGACTGGTTGTAGCGGACCTGTCGTATAATCACAGGAGAATTCTATTTTTAGAATCTGCATGTCTTCATCATCTGTAAGAATTTCACCGGATGCAGACCCATCAGAAAAATCCCAGCCACTGCCTTCAATAGTGAACTCGCCATCTGATATTACAATCTGTAAGAATAGAGACAGGCATGTGAAAACATGGTAAAATTAATAATGCCTTGCTCAATGGACGACTGCACATGCACAAGGTAGAGAGTAACTGTCAACTTTAATTTATACGCACTAAAACATGGTTTATTGCATACTGAATCATTAAAATACACATCTGTGAAAAATTAATATGTAATAACACTATCCCGCACAAGTAGTTAAATGCCACAACCCTTATGGTTTCCCTTAATGAAAGATTGGCATCAAAGCCAAATCAAACAAATCAATTTGCAACATATCAGAAATCATTTAAGTAGTTTAATTTGCATCACTATCAATTTTTGAGATATTACGACATTCGTGAAGAAAAAATGTTGCGTTGCCGGACCTTACAAAAATGTTTACTAAGACAAAAGTCTGCTGTTTTCACACACACACACTCACGAAATTTATCTTTCGCATAGAAGCAGCATTTGATTTAATAATGTACAAGAAACATATCATTATAAAGAGCAAAAACACTTACTGCATTTTTAAAGACTACTCTATTGTCTCTGATGTCTTTCTTCGTGCCACAGTTGATGAATTGCGTACTCAATATGAAATGAGTTTCATTTGATTCTGCTTTGCAATTATGATCCAAAAATGACAGACTTAAAAATCGCACATCAAACAACTCAAGAACATCCTTCTGCAAAGCTACATTGATACCATCATCACGGCATTCCTTAGTAAAGGACCTCATTAAATCAGATGCATTAAAATCTCCATCTAATGGACTTTTTGGAATCATTTCAGGCATCAGTGTTTCGGATGCTGGTAAAGCCACAATGTCTGAAAAATAAAGAATTAAATTATTTTCTGTAAATGATTTGTTGTCAACATAAAATTAACAGTAAACTTCTAAAATTACAGTGGAAACAATTTTTATCATTTGGTAGTGTTGAGAACAAATTAATAATCATTTCTAATTTCCTTGTTTTTGGACAGAATTTGATTTTCTTTCAACGTATTGATCAAACATTCAGAAGTTTTAGAAATGCAAACAAGAAGAACTACAATTTATTGTCCCAATCAATCCAATTATAATTGAACAATAAAGATAGTTCCATGATAATATTCCACAACAAAGCTGTGGCATCAACAACTGTAATATTATACATTGACAACAATTGGATGAAAACTGCTCAATTCGCAATAAAACTTTGATGAATACAGGCAAAGTTTTGGAGTAAAGAGGTAGCGATGTTTACCTTCCTTCAGTTGTAAGCGCAACAAATTAGCATTATTGGTTTCAGTGAATGAGTTGACAGGTCCATGTTCCTTCTCTGCCCAACGAATAAGCTTAGCTCCAGATTCCAATGCTGTTTGTTCATAGGATGAATCTGGTTGCCATGGTGAATCATCCAACATCATCTTATCCACATTGGTCTAAAAGAGAAAAACAGATTTATTTTGTCAATTATTTACTTACTATGAATAAACATCAACATTGTCTTGGTGCGTTTCAATATCACCACAATGTGACATGCAGCACTCCAGGCAGAGAAAATATTTTGAAGGTCAATCAAATAAATAAAAATTTGCGTAAATAAAATTTGTTTGACAGAAAAATATTTTGTTTCCAACTTTTCCTAAAAAACTCTTTACTAGTTCTTGTTTCCTAAAAAACTCTTTACTAGTTCTTGTTTCCTAAAAAACTCTTTACTAGTTCTTGTTTCCTAAAAAACTCTTTACTAGTTCTGAAGCAATACACACACTCTTTTGCATCCTGAACTGTGCTTTGTAACAATAACAGTGAAACAAATGAATAGGCGAAGAAATAGACTAACAAATGTTGCACAAAGTTGTTCAAATCACAGCAGCTGGAATAATAGAAACTTACAATTATGTGCAATGATCCAGTGAAGTTTTCCGAAGTAACTCGCCAATTGGTGTTGACGTTACTTTTTATGATTATCATGACGTTGTTAGAATACATTTCTCGTCCCTGAGACTCTACATGCAGATTGATAGTATCACCATCAACGCAACTATCATTTGCTTCAATAATGTGAATCGCACGAGAGCCGACTGGATGAGGAGCACAGCCTGATGTCACTGGTTGTACCTTTAGAAATTCTGCCACCACATTGGGAGAATAAAAATTACTTCTTATGTTGCAGTTTTCAGACAACATTGTTTCTGTTGGGGGGAAAAAAGTAGTCAATTAAGCATTTGACAACCACTAGCCTACCCACAATGCATTGCAAAAAGAAGATACATCCTGAGGAAATGATTTTACAGTGTTTCAATTAACATTAAGTTATAACTAGACAATATTGAAATTATGTTAAACATATTTACCAAATACCAAGTGTAACATACTTCACTTTAGCTGGAATTAATTTTGTGGAATAATATTTTGGCTGTTTTGTGTGAAGTTTATGTTAACTAATTTTTGACGAGTTGAATGTAAAATATATTCACCTATTAATAACACTAGTAAGAAAATTTTAACAAATTGTGACATCTTACCGGCCCCAACCCGCAAAGTAATCTTGTTGGCTTTCTGTATTTCGGTGAACGATGTCAAGGCATGGTATTTCCTTCTGATCCACCTTACCAACTTATCATTAACGGTTGGCATGTGTCGTTTTTTGATCACGGTTATCGTTCTATCTTCAGAATAATTTACATCAGATCCACGAGTCACCTATGAAGGAACAGAAGTTGCTGTTAATTAGGTAATTAATATGCATGGATTTCAACCCGAAAGTTCTTTATTTCGCAAGTTTTTTTATTTCACATAATGATCTGAAGAAACTGCTTTCCTTGCTGATGAATGTTGACCTGCTCGGTATAATCGCCGACTCGCTCAGATAATCGCCGACTCGCTCAGATAATCGCCGACTCGCTCAGATAATCGCCGACATAATGAAAAATCATTTCCTTACTCAGCAGACAATGTGGAGCCATCATAACGGATAATAATAAATACATTTTGTACATGTACGTAGACAGCTAATGAGGTCATCACACTATTTAATATTTCAAGAAACATGTTAAATGTCATACAAAACATGCAAAATTTGCATTTTTCACAGATTTTTTTATATCTCAGATCATCTCTATTTAAAGAGTTCATAAACCAACAGTTATATTTATTGCATAGAAATGATTCAAATACAACTTATTTCGACTGTAGACTCACACCTCGGTCATTTTACATATCACCAGAGGTACATTACTTGGGGTTTGCAACTACGGTGACATGATACCAAGATCTCGTTACAATCTCGCTCTTGCATAAGCGTTCCAACTCAGAAAAATTCAAATGCGCATGCCCGAGGTAACTACGATACTGGGATGTCCAGGTGGATCAAAATAGCTGCTCATGATACGAGGGATTACGACAACTATATTTTCTGTACATTTTCGATGTATTACATTTTTTCACTATGAATGTGGTAATACATGTTTTATTGTTTTATTACAAACTGCCTATGTCATGTCAGAAGGTAGTAGCATCAGTCTCGCTATCTACGAGATGAGACTTGAATGGGATCTTGACATGATGTCACCATACAGTACTATGTGTGTTGCAAACCCCAAGTAATGTACCTCTGATATCACATTTCATAAAATTTCAAAAAAATAAAAAATTATTTAGCAGGTTGCCTGAAATACAGAATGTAAACAACCCCCATAATGCATTGCACACATGTGCAATAACATTGTCAGCAGGGTAAAATTCACATCCAAAAAAAAAATTCAAAATAAAATGAGGCAACACATTTCATAATAATATTTTAAACTCTAATAATTACATAAACGATTTCCAAAGCCGCTACTAGTAATGTTTAGAAGTTTTACAGAGCTGCGTTCATGAGATCACATTCCATGCAAAGATGACATTCCACTTTGCCGATAACTGGTAAGTTGACACACACTGTGTGTTGAAAGGGCAAAATAATATTTTCACAGAATCCAAACTACAACTTAATCAACTGTAAGGCTCCAAGTGGACCACCCAAAAGTCATTCCCTGTGGAGGTAGGGGTACTAACTGTTGTTTGTGTTGTTGCTTATAACACTGAACTCTCACATAGGAATATGACAAAACCAGTGTTGATATGTAGAGCAGAATTAGAGGCTAACCCAAAATTAATTTCAATCTACTGTTTCAAAACACAACTGAATAGAATAAACGGTGTCAATCGCTCGTAGCTGCAAGTATGTTGTTTACCATGTTGAGATACTTGAGTGAACAGGGTCTCCGGGTTAAAACAATGCTCTCAAAAGCAATGCAATTGTACATGAATAAGGTCTGAATAGGTGTAAACGAGAGTTAAATATTAACCACTGATGTGTGAACACACTGATAAGAAATATATTTTTAAGTCTATGATTTAGCCTTTTATTGGGGAGGAGTGTCTCATCAAAACGATACATATACAAATTCTACAGCGAAAGTACTATGATATTGTGTCTTAAAAATCATCTGCTTGAAAAAATGTATTGCCACTAAGAGTTTATAATATCACTTTGAGAATCAGTTTGAAGATTCACATGGCTGGGAATCAGGCTTTAACTTGTTTTTAGGAATTATGCTCAATACTGTGCGTGTCTATGCCATTTTTTCTATTCTTATTAGATATCAGTAAAGGCTTCATCAGACTATGCCCAACTAGTCTCTTACACATACTCAAAAATGAAGTATTCCTTGGATTTCGAAATGCACTATTTCGTAAGGTACTCCGAGCAGATCAACACTGAGTACCCAACTAGTGAAGTGTTCCACATTGTAAAAATGAATCTGTATGCATTTTGATTATCATAAAAGAGGAATATTTCAAAGCACTCTAAATAGATGCATCTCCACAGAGTGTGATTTGCATACTGAAATTATTTATACATTTAGAGCCATAATTTAAGGTGATCTTAGATTGTATATTTGAAATTCAAATCAACATTTGGCAGTTAAAACAACCCTTTTAACAAATAATTTATTGCTGCACAAATTTCACAAGTGAAGCATTTCCATGGGAACATGCATAAATTATACATACAAGTGACTCTTAAGATAAAGGCACAATAGTTAAATTAGATACTTGGTTACTGATTTCTACACAAAACTCTACATTCATACACTTCCTACAGAAGGTGGACAGAACACAAGGGGAATATGGCGACCTATTACATAAAGAATAAGTCAAAATTTTATTAAATTGACGAGGTTCATATTTTCTTAATTCTGTATAAAAAAGATATTTAATGAACAAAATTGAGCAAAAATTGAACCCAGAGGACAACAAATAAATATACAGACTGAAAACGAATCAGGAATTTATTCAATTGAAAGCAAAATATAGGTATATATGCCAATGAATAAACAATCATCTAACTTTTGTTTTAAGGAAAAGTAATTATTTATGAAATATTTATGTAGTTCTCATTTGCTTGCTTCCAATTATATCGATATACTGGTAGTGACTTGACAGAAATCAAACATATATTAACTTTACAACAAATAAACTACCACTGATACCAGTGATTGGTTATAACTACCAAAAATTGGTTATAAACTACCAGGGATTGGTTATAAACTACCAGGGATTGGTTTAACTTATTTCATCATCAAGTTTATTAATATTTATAAGCCTTTGTGAACTGCCCTACATAACTCATTGTCCTGCAGTAATCCTTTGACCTGGTTATCCATTAATAGCATACACGCATGGTGAATCACAAGTTATCACGATTTCAGAAACAAAAAAATCAGATAATAAGCAGGCACAAGCTGTTCAACAAACCATTTACATATTTGGCTGTTTATGAAAGACGTTTTTTGCTTTTGGAGGGGAGGGAGGGAGGGAGGACATTTTGTGAAAATCATTTCTTGTTTATCATCTTCAAAACCCATATTTTGAATGACATGATTTTATTAACGAAAAACTCTCATTAACAGGCCAAATTTTTCACACTAAAATTTAAGGTACACATTTTGAAAATTACCAGTAGTTTTTTTTTTTCAATGAATTTTTTTTTTAAATTTGCAGAAACTGGAAATAATTTCCTCATTGCCTGAAAAAAATGTTTTTGTTTTTCAATGGAAGATAAACGCATCAAAATTTGACTGTGCCTTTGAAAGGATTAACATCAATTTTATGAAATAATAGTATCATATTTAGTAGCGCATACACTAACTGACAGGCGGTTTTAATGGTCAAAATATGTCATATTAAATTGATCCAGTATACAATTGACTGATTTATTGGTTTATTTGCACTTCTATTTGAGATCCAATTGTGCAAAGACAGTATGCTGCATGAATAGATACGGTTTTTGAAGTCAGTTGTTCTTGGATTACATATTTCCAACAGATCCAAGTGTGTACCAAAACTGTTATACAAATTCACAACTCCACCTCTTTGTTAGTAATATTAGTCTCACTGAAAAAAGAAAACAAATATTCACCACTGTTCATAGTCATTTGGTAACAGTTAAAATACAGCTCTAAAAATGACAACATAAAAGCCAATTAATCAATGGGTACTGAAGTACCGTATGCCAAAATCTAATCAAATCTGACATTGGATTGGAACACACTATTTGTGTACGAGCACTAAACAATGACACTGGACATGCATGTCATGGAAAGAGGGAAAAACTGACAAATCTGAAGATTTCTAGATTTTGAAATTAGAATTCAGGAAAAGACAATTTCTGGTGATAAACAAAGTGAGGAAGGTAATTCCCCAAATACGATAGGTGTATTGCAAATTGATATGAAAAATCATGTGTTATTTAGTCTTTTTGAAGTCCATAGTTCCCTTTAAGTATGAATATGCCTTTCGTATTTACAAAAGACAGTTTGGACCAAACATTGATCAGACTTCGTACAAATTGTAGGATTATGTAGGATTTTTTTTATAGGAAACAAGTGGTCCAGAATCTTTTGGACAATAATTTTCACTTCACCTTTCAGTAATTTCACATCTTACGCAAGGTCAGAGGTCAGGTTGCTAGCAAGGTCTTTCGCTGCCAGATTAGCAATGTGGTGTACTCAAGATTAACTAATTACTTAATAATTACGTTAAACTATTAGCTTTTCACGATTTCATAATGTGTGACCATTCATGGCACCGACATTTCAAGAAAGTCATTAAGGTTATCTAAATAATCCAAAGGAATTTTCCACTGCTACCAAATTTCCCAATCTTCTTTGCTTGCAACAATTTGTCTCGTGAGACAATATTGCAGCTGTTCATTATCTTGAGCACATTATCACCGGTACCACATTTTGCTTTCTATTCTGATCATGTATATGAAAACTCAACCAAATCAAGAGAAAAAACAGTCTTCGGTAACAGTGTATAACTGCAATTACTCTAACTCCTGGGGGTGAACTACAAATTCATGAGATAATTGAATGATTTTGGATACACAAAACTCATTACTGAGCAGGCCATGCTTAGTGGTTTTGAATGATCTGAGATTCAAACAATTAATGTCCGACTGTATTAAGTTACAAGCAAAACACACAAATTAACAAACACAAAATTTAACTTGAGGTTTCAGTGGTAATCATGCAGACAGTGTCTATGTTAACTGGCAGACAATATTCTTGACTCAGACAGTCTTGATAACAAATGCAAACAGTGAACTTGTCCTACTTCTCTTTGATGCATCAAGGTCATGGTGATATCAAAGC